TTCTGATTGACATAAGATTACACAACATTGATATGTAAACATTATTTCTAAAACCCTTAAATAGACCATTCCGTGAAGGGCTTGAAGCTGAGAGTTCTTCTGATGCTATAGCTGGTAGCAGAAAAAAACTGTTTACAAGTATCGCAAAGTTTCCACCGCATTGTCGTCGGTTTTCATTGTGAGATCAGTGTATTTTTTGTTACCATCCACATGGTTAGAAGTCATACCAGTATAAGGTATAAAATATATTTTTGCACAATGAAAGCTCCTGTAATCTCAGGGCAGTGAAGTAGATGTGAGGTAATCGTAATAAATGACGCTTTGTGCTGAAGCATTATACTGATATATTTTGAACGGTTGAGGTTGCGGCATGATGATCTACATCCCAGTAAAACGAAGTTTCTGTAAATTACACAGCATAAAGTGACAATGCACAAATATGTTGCTGACAAGACTGGTTAAAGCGGCGTCGGTCGAATTCATTCCCAAAATGTCGCTGAGTCGATGGGTAATTTTAAGGCAGTTAAGATGAATTTCGAAACTTGCTTTCGACGATAGGGAAAATTATAGTAGCGATATAGATATGGAGTAGAACAGATATTCCCTTATGATATTAAAGGGGATTCCAAGGAAATTAAATCCCTTTCAAAAGGTAACGAGACTCAGTTTTACTGCAATGTATGAGCACTTGCATTTGCCGGCTAATCTCGAAATGTCTAAGCATCTAGATACTGGTAAAAGGCGAATTTGCAAATTTTAGCTCCATGGATTTTTGAGAGAAGGGAGAATGAATTAATGTTTCGTTTCAATGGAAAAACTATTTTGCTTTAGGTAGGGGTTCATAACAGTTTCGCTTACGTTAAAGTTCATTTTCAATGACAGAACAGCAAACGGTGCCAATATATTTTTGAAGACAGTGAGATGTTAAGGTTCGGAATTTCATTCGTGCGTTCGTCGTTCTGAAAACAATAAAAGCACGGCTCACTGTTTGGCTCCAAACGTTACAATAGCTTTGGACCATAGGGCGAACTTCGAAAATCAAACTGTTTACCTTGTACAAGGGCCCTGAGACACGAGACGGAACGTCGGTCCGGATTGACTAGTTTGTTTGCGTTTTTATACAGTGTTCGTAGTGAGATCTTTGTGCCTTCCAAAGAGTCACGGTGGTACTTTGGTTAGCATATTGAAGTGTTTTTTCAAATGAATTCAAAAATCATTTGTCAAATTTAAAGGGAGTAACGAAGAATAAAGTTACCGCAGAACAACTCCAAGATAAAAGATAGATAAGAAATAATGTTTCTTTGACTCGTACAAATTGCTGTCTGTTAAAAAAATGGCTGGGTATAAAGTTGCCTATGAATGGTGCAAATGTTAATGGGCATGGCAAGGGGAAGTTTGGAGGCATTTCAGCTGAATGGGTAGTGGCAAAAGCCAGAGGCGGGGTTCGGTGAGCTGTTGGACTCGAACTTCCACACGGCAAACAAGGCGTTCTAGCGGACCATTCGCCCGCTACCAGGTGATCAGAAGGGCAGTCAAAGTCTTGAAGAACAGTTCCGGACACCCTCTTACCGAAGACAAGGTCATCCTTCGGTGATGAAGAAAGTACTTTGAGGAACTCCTTAATCCCGAGCAATCGCTGGAAGACTCGTCTGTAGCAGCACGGATCGGATAATATTCTCTCTGTAGATGAAATTGCACAAGCTGTGAAAAACTTGAAAAATGGAAAGGCTGCTAGAATTGATGAAATCTGCCGGAAAATGCTCAAAGCAATATGCGAACAATACATGTGATGGCTTACACGTGTCTGTCAAACTGTAAATACTATGGGGAATACCCTAGCGGACTGGAGAACGGGGCTGTTGTATCCCTGTTAAGGAAGGGAAACTATAGGGAGTGCTCCAGTTATCGGAGCATTTCTTTATTGAGCCTCCCAGGTAAAGTCTACACAATAGTGTTAGAAAGGAGGTGCCGTGGAATAACTGACTCAAAGACACAAGAAGAGTAGTGTGGCTTTCGGCCTAGTCGAAGCACCTCTGACCATATATTTGTCCTGTTGCAGATTGTTGAGAAGTCCTAGGAGTACGCCCGTCCGGTGTACATGTTTTATTGACCTAGAAAAAGCCAGTGACCGGATCCCACGCAACAGTCTGTGGTCAAGCTTTCGAGCATACGTATAAATGGCCAGCTGCTAAGGGCCATCTAATTGTTGTATTTTGATAGCAGATGCTGCGTTATGGTAAATGGCGTTGAGTCGAAGTCTTTAAACGTTGGTACTGGTCTCTGCCAAGGCTGCATCCTGTCCCTTCTCTTTGTGTAGTACATGGATAGAATAGCCAGAAGCAGACAAAGTGAGTATATCGGTGTAGGAGATGTGGAGACGAGAAAATTGCGTATGACCTTGTTTTATTGGCATCTGAAACTGATCTACAGTGCTCCCTGGAAAAGTTCGCAGACCAGTGCCATCGGATCGGAATGTCTCTGAACGCGTCTAAAACGAAAAACCTGGTGCTTTCTCTTGCCCATTGCTGACAGAGACAGTGAAGAAGTGGAGTAGTTAAAGCACGTCAGTCATGTTCACTAGTGATGGAAAATTTGACGAAGAGATCAACCGGCGGATTAGAGTAGCCAGTGGCGTTCTGCATGAACTAATCCGATCCATTGTGGCTAAAGCAGAGCTCAGTCTTAAAACTACGCTGTTGGTATTCAGGTCGATCTGTCGAAATGGTCACCTACGGTTGTGAGTCATGGCCCATAATTGAAATGCTTCGAACTCGGGTAGACGCTGCTGAAGTGGGATTTCTGAGACGAGTCGCTAGCCTTACGCGTCTCGACATGGTCCGGAATACTGATATCCGGGAAAGCCTTGGCGTACAGCCTCTGCTTCTCCAGATCGATAAGTCACAGGGGCGATGGTTTGGGCGCGTGTTGCGAATGCCTCCAGAAGGGAAGACTAATGAACTCTTTCTTTGCCAATTTACCGGCAGAAGACCAAGGGACGGCTACGATTAACCTGGTGCAAATGTATGGAAGAACTCTGCTCTAGACACAAGCTTTCTTCTGCTGAAGTTCAGACTTTAGCACAGGATCTGGAACGTTAGCAGAACTGTAGAACTGTCTGTCGCATCTGCCTCCGCGACCCGAAAGGATGTATGTATAGTGTGATAGTATACACACTGACAGCTGGAGGACACAGCTTTCAGAGAGCTTGGTCAAGTCGCAAAGGATATGCTGCTCAGTGAACTGCATTTGGGTCTCAGTGAACTGCATCGTAAGTGTAATATTGTTAATGAGGGATGTTTTCTGTTTTGGCAGAGAACTGCATCATTTTTCATGTTTTGCAATTGTACGAAAGTGCGATTTCCTGATTTTGAGGTTGCAAGTGACAGAATATGTCACTACCTCCATTTTCTCCTATTCATCAGCCACCATTCCTACTTGCATTCACTTTTTCCGTCAGTCTTCATACTCCGCATAGCTGATCGAAAATGCGACGAAAGAGATTTTATCGTAATTTCTGTGGCTGATCGTATTTGGTCGGATCAAGATTCTGGCCTCTGCCCTTGTCCTTTGCTGGAGCCATGGGATCTACTTCGTTAATGGCATTTTGGGGTTCACAAGTACTAGTCTTTAGGGCTGTCGTAGTGAATCTGTTTCATAAGTTTTACTGTACATTAGTTTTTGTCGTGCGTTACTTTCCTTATTCGTTGATTTTTGCAGTGTCCAGCGCACGAAGTTGGATTTGTGGAGATTGTAGAGGCATGGGAATCAGGTACCGAAAGAGGTGTACTGACATAATTCATTTATTCAAAAGAAGAGAAGTGTCTTCTCTTGAAAAACTACTTTTTTGCATTTTTAATTACTCGTGGCAGACCGTTTTTAGTCTTATATCGTTCATTATGCGAGGTCCATTGGAAAAAATGAAAAATGCTTGAATAAATATCTTTTTAAATCCTTGATTTGAAAACAAGAAAATTTATTCGTTGTACAATTTGAAGTTGTCTCAAAATGATTAGTAATGTTCCAATTTTATTTTTTAAACAAATTACCATACGGTGTTATACTGTAAGAATGTTTGTTCTTTTGGGAAATAGGTCTCTCTAAGTGGAAAGCGCGGTGAACTTGTTTCCTGTTCACTAATTCTTGGCGGTGAGCTCGAAAGTTAGGAACAGTTTTCTTACTTTTAACTTGCAGTTTTTTGTTCTGGCTTTTGCTGCTTTGGTTTTGACTTAGTTTGTTCTGTTGTAAATTGTTATAGGAGCTATTATTAGCACATATTTATAAATATATAATGCTTTAGGTCGTTACGATGAAGACCTCGATCAAGAAACGGAAGAAACTTCTCCTACACCGGGGTATTTAGATATACTGTTCATATGTTACGTGGCATTCAAACGTTCATTTGTAGCTGCTATGGCAGAAGAACAGATAGCTTCGGATCAAGATTTAAAGCAACTTTCAAAAGATACGTTTTCAATGGTCGTAATGATCGCTTTCGACGTGTAAATAAGTCCGGCGACGGGTCGGAATGGAATAAAGTAGTGGTATGTTATATTGAAATATTTGAATTGTACTTTTTGAAAAGATATTTGTAACAAATAATTTATGGATCGCTTGCTTTACTGTAGATTTTAACTCTGACAAAAAGGCAGCGGTGTTATGATTTGGTATCTTTTGCAATAAAAGATACATTAATTGGTTATTTGCATTTGGATTTAAGTTTTACACTTTCTGATGCCCATTTGTGTAGTCTTGTATTTAATGAGAAGTGGTTGTGTAATGTCTAAAGATTGTAAAGGCCACTTTGTGCAGGAAATTATTTCATTGACCTTAATAATTGTTACGGGGCTGCTTCACACATATGTTATATTATGTGCATTACTGACGCTTCAAGCCATACTTGCTTCGTTAGCAGGCATCTACCGTAAAAATTGATTACTCCAAGTTTACACTTTCCTTTCCGTGTCACATGGATAGACAGACGTGAATTCGCGATAGCTCACAGATGATACTGATGTGTTAATAGTCTGCAGCCAGAAATCACATATGACCAAACCATGTCTGCTAAAGCGTAAAAATTCGAACGTATATTCAGTTTCCTACTCAGTCACTGTGTTAACAAGGAGCCGTCGTTCTACTGCGTTGTTTTAAGGTTGTCGGTGGAAAGGAGTACGGCCGGCGGTTCATACTGGAATCGCTTAACGCGTTTGTCGAAGGCGGTGTTCATCCCGTTTTGTATCGCGAAAATGAAAATGGCGATGCGGTGTTTTTTATCAAAGGTCGTGAAATTGCTAACACGTTACAATCGGCTTCGCGCAGAGTACGAGGTCCTTCTGACGAGAAGGTGGGTGGTTTTTGGTTATTAAATTTGAACTTTTACATGGTGCGCTGAATTTTTTACTCTTTGCTTTATAGATTTGCTGTTGTGCATGTTTATTGCTGTAATCAGTTGTTTTAACAGAAAAACGCTTTTGCTTGTTTCATCTCAACTGCATTCTTTGCTTTTGAACACATTTGCAATTCAATTATGCAACGAAATATTTGCCTCAGACGCAGATTTTTTTCCTCCTTCCACGATGTTGCATTCCTGTTTCCTGATCTTGTAAAGGTCTTAGTTGTTATGCTCAAACGCAGCAGATACACTTATGTCGTCGTCCAAAAGAGCTCATTTGACAGGCGCAGATTTGTGATATGTGATCATTTAGTCTCATCTTAGGTTCGATTCAAGGTAATATTTAATAATATTTATCTGAACCAAGCTTTCGTCTCGTGAATGTTTGTAGAAATCGTCTGCGGTCGCTGGACGGATCCCGTAAAATCGCGGTTTTTGAAAAATTTCCCGTTCTCCTTTTAAGCTGTTTTCTTTATCAATATTTAGTGCTGGCTTATAATTATTGCCAATTAATGTTTCCTGTAGTCAGAAAGTACGTAGTTTTCTACAGTTTGGGTCAGTACAGTGTGTGCGTTCCTTCACTGAATTTACATTGTGTTAATCTTATCTGGAACTTCAGTTAAAGTGTATTTTCAAGCAAGATATACATCTTGTTAGTTACCCTGATATTTTAGCTTTCGTTTTTAAGTTATTTATTACGCTTTGCTTTTGTTATAACCGTGCTGTTATGATATTTTGTTGTCAATGTGTAGAGACTGAAAACAGTTATAATGGAAAGGTTATTTTGTTAAAAATTTTTTATGTATTTCAACGTGTGGCTGAACAAGTCTGGATTATAAGTCATGGTCTGAACTGCCGATATCAGTCTATGGTTCTACAGGTGCATTACATGCGTTGCGTACAGTGAAATTGTGTTCATGCTGCTTCCCAGTGTTGCAGAATAGCGTGAAACGACAGATTGCTATAATTGGAGGGCATTTGCGAAAAGGCGATTCGCATATAGTGTTCCCAGGCTGCAGGTTATCCATATCTGTAACGCGTCGACGGCGTGCATTATATTCATGCTTCATGCGCAGTTGCACCTTTGACTGCCGTTGCAGCACGTAATATCTGGTCATCGTGATAACGTCATTGCCTATTTTGTCAAGGAAGAGAATGAGTGAAATGACTGTCGTTCCCAGTTAAGATGGATCTACTAAATCAGTGATTATAGCGGATCTATTTTTTTCATTCATTCATCTTCAACGTATCTCTGGATTACGCAGAAGGTCATCGCCTTAAATAAGCTATACTTATTTATGTGTTCCTGTCATGGAACACAATTAAGTGGAATTTATTAACTAACTGCGCAGTTCATGACATTCTGAACAATATTAATATTTTCATATTTAGCTAACTATTCGTACATTTAACTGCCAACAGCCATTTGCGTCATTACCTGAAGAGGATATTGCGTTGCTAAAGGGATTGCTGGAAAAGCGGTTTTCGCCTGAGGCCAATCATCTCAATCTGAGTGATTTTTCCAATGATCCAGGTAAGAAGCAAAAGAGTTCATTTCGTTTCTGTTTGCTCTATTTTTAGTAGTAACAAGTCAACCTAATTATCTTGGTCTGAACAAAAACTCAGTCATGATGGGAGTGGTCAATTTGCTGATCTCCTGTGCGGACAAGTTGCATTCAGTCGATCTGTCGAAAAACCAGATTCGTTATTTGGAATGTTTTGCAACACTTTGCTCGTATTGTCGTAATGTTCAGCGGCTAAATTTGAGCAAAAATTCGGTAAGAGCTTTGTAGTTTAAACCGCTGATCCGTTAAATTTATCCGTATATGGTGCACTATAAACATCGACATGCTTATGTTTAGTATTTATTCCTATAAACACAGTGTATTATTGTTTTGTTACAGATTGAAAGTTTCAACGAATTGAAAAAGTTGAGCGACTGGAACATAACGGAACTGGACGTCGCCGATACCCCCTTGTGCAGTTTCTACTCAGACGCGAAAGTTTGTCAGAGGTGCGTAAAATCATAGAGTAATGCAACGATTCCAGCTACTCCATGCTGTCAGTTTTAAGCGGCATTTGATTAAGTACATCGCAGTAACAATGTAGAAAATCTTAAATTTCAATGAAATACCATAGCACGTTGTTTCCATGTTGGAAGATACTTATGATGATGCGTGTCTACTGTCGAGAGGTGCCTGGGCTACCTATTAATTGTGCAACTGCCCATCGAGATGCAGTTTTCTTTCCTGTTCAGCTTTGTTCTCTATTTTCTCCTCCGAAACAGCCAAACTCTCTGGCAAAGTCAAAGGCTGTCATTTTTGGGGAGCAACGCAGTTCAGCATGTCCAG